AGACTTAGGTTACCATCTGCAAGGATCATGTTCTCTGTCAGTTGCCTTTTACTAGCTCTTCTGTGCTCCTCCTCAAAAATCTTTCTTTCTGGACAGTTGCAGACCAGTAATCGGTGGGAATCCCCTGCTACCAAAGTATGGCTACCCTTCTGAACGGCTGCTGAAGTTGTCTGAGCCTAAAAAATTCCTCCCTGCTTACCTGGAACAAAGGTGAGAGGCTAGAAAGCCTATAGGGTGCTATAGGTAGAGCTTTGGGTCCTGTAGCATCGGTGGTGTCTAATAAATGCAGGAACAGAGGATGGGTTAACAGAGGATAAAAATGCAGAGCAGGGTCTCTGCTGGGATTAGAACTTCTGGATTCTCTCATGGGATGAGTTCTACACTGGAAATGGCCACAAGACAAAGCTGCCTTCTGCTGCAGCAAATGTGAGTCTTGGAGAGCCCAGCTGCTGCCAGATTGGAGAACATCTGTGAGTGGCAGTGCCATGACTCTGTGCTTCCAGATCCCGTGATACCCCGGAGTGGCCTGTGTCCCTGGCTGCACAGAACTACAATGCCTCCAAGCGGATACTGCAGCTTGCCCAGCCAAAGGGGCTGCACCCAGACTTCATGCTCCCCAGAGAGGTGAGGAGGAGGTTCAGTGAGATTTAGAGGGTGCAGGGATGCAGCAAACTGTCCTGTGTCCCACCGCTGGATGTGCCCACTGTGTGGAGGGGAGAAGCTGCCTGGTTCTGCTGCAGTTTATGGCACTGGAAGAAACTGCCTTTTCAGAGAAGAATGTTGTATTTGCAAATCTCCTGCTGGGGGACAAAAACCAGCCAGGTTGGAGCAGCCTAGTATAGCAGGAGAGCCAAGGGAGGCATCTGGGCTGCATCCTCTGGGAAAGTGGAGAAACCTGATGGAAATGGCATGTTTAGCTCTTAGGGAGTAGTCATGTTTGTAGCTGGGCAGCTGTGCTCCTATCTGAGTACACAGGGGGCATGAGATTGCAACTACTATGTGTATTTTAACTGCATTTTGCCAGAAGCCTGATTTATATTTCTGAGCTTGTTCCTTTTAGGTGGGTCATTGCTTTGGCAGGGGTGAAAGGGCTTGGAGCAATCTCAGATTACACTAATTTCCATGGCAAAGACTAGGTTTTCTGGATGCAGCCTCTGGGGCTGGGAAATGGGTGTCTGGGCTGGAGCAACTGTAACCCTGTGAAAAATTTTGGAAGAAGTCCCCTGCTGGAGAAGTAATCATGTTTTCTGTAGGAATGCAGTTAACCATAGCAGCAAATTTACCCTGAAATCTGAATGTCTCTCCTTAGCAGGGAAGTTATTTGATTTGGGCAGGAAGATGAATATAAAAAATATGGAAGGAATTTCTCTGTACTTTTACCTGACTACATAGGCTTTCATTACAGGCACTCCCCTCCTCGCTCTGAGTGGGCAACTGAGGAATCCTTATAGCACCAAAATGACTTAATTGTTCAGGTGGAAAAAAATAATGGATTCTGGAAAATTCGGAGTGACCATGTATGCAGAGGGAGGGTGCTGGGATGTTCATCCCTGTGGAGAGGGAGCATGTCCCTGTGGGCTGCTGTACAAGCTCTGTGTCTGCACGTCCCTCCCCCATTCTGGGTCCGTGCAGGTGCCAACCCAGGTTTCCAGCTTAGCAGTCAAGGCCAGTGCATCGGCGCGGGTGCAGAAGCTGGCAGTGCCCTTGATCAGGGAGATGACCTGCTGCAGTACACACACCAAACCTGGTGTTATCATGGCTCCGGTAAGGCAGCATCACCCGACATGGATGGGACTTCTGGCAGAGGAGTGGGCACAGGTGCTCAGTCGCTTGTGGCTCTCTTCATGTCAGCCCTGGATGTGCTGCCCTCCATGAGGCTGGCATAGCTGCTTCCTGAGCTGGAAAGCAGGGCTTGTGCTCCATTCAGAGTATGAACTGACTCCCAGCACATATCCCCAGAGAACGGCAGAGCTGTGCCTAACTTGCACTTGTAGGAATGGGGATAGGTGGACAAGTGTCTAACTGGGATCTCCAGTGCTGGGGGTGGGTTGGACAAAGGGCTGTGAGTAACAGGAGGCTGGAGGGCAGGTTGTGGGACTGACGAGGCAGTGATTTCTTCTTCTGCAGTTTGCCTGGTGCCAAACACAGCTGAGGATATGATTGTGTCCCATCTGTGTGCGGTCAGTGCCTGTGAACCTGGAAACTCTGAGTTGGTTGCAGGCTGAGCACCCTCGAATGCCAGGAGCATCTCTAAAGGCCTTCCTCCCCATTCTGCCACAGATTTCCATATCACCTCGGAGGATAGTTGCAAGCCCTCGGACCATTGAGCTGTCGAAGCCCAAACAACTCCACCCGAACTTCATGCCCGCGCGAGATCCCGAGTGGCCTGTCACAGAGGCTGCCAAGCATGCAGTGCCTACAAAAAGAATTCTGGGGCTGGCCCAGCCTTCCTCAAGGTAGGTACTGCTTCCCTGTCCCAGGGAAACGATCAGCTGCCAGCCCATTTTGTGTGGCTCATGGCACCTTGTTCATTTGTGTTTGGCCAGAGAGATTAGGCCAAGATTGGGAAGTGCTCTTCCACTTCCAAAATGCCTGGGTTTTATATGTTTGGGTGAGTTAATGCTACATGAATTGCGGTTTAAAAAGCCATTTTGAGGTAGAATGAGTCAAAAGAGAAGAAACAGGAACTCTTTAATTCCAGCAGAATTACTGGTTGGGACTTGTTATTAATTCCAACTATAAAAAGCAACCATCTGGCAAAGGGCAGAGTGTAATACACTCCTGTTGCCCAGCATGTTGCAGCTGACCTCAGCCCAGTCTGCAGGAAGTGCTGGGAGGATGTTTCACAGAGGGTGGGGGAATGCCTGGCTGTAGTGGCTGTGAGAGATACTCCTCTCCTGACGACAGCATTGGAGGTGTGATGCCTTTTGTCCTCCCTTGACAGGGAAGGGCAGGCTTAGATGGAGGTGTGGGAGCTCACAGGCAGCTGGCAGGTGGCCTTGCTGCAGTCAGGATTGACTATTCCTACCCTCTCTCCTCCAGACCTCGTGTGACTCCACTCAACCCAGATGCATTCAAAGTGAAAGAGAGTGCTCTGAAGGCGGTTTGTACTCCACGGCTCGCAGAACTGGCTCAACCAATTAGGCACTAAGCTCCTGCCATCTGCCCACATCACCCCTTGGAACATCACTCTCTCTGGCTGTGCTCTGGCTGGAAAATCTCTTTGAACACAGTGCAGAGGCAACACGCAGCTGGAACGCCTTCTGGGAGTTAAAATAAAGTCATCATTCCTTAAGAATAGTCATCAGGGAAAATGACAGAATTCAACTTAATGTGGGAAGACTCTCTCCCTAGGATTGGTTATGTCTGGAGTTTCTTTCTTGATTGTTTTGCTGTAATAGTTTAAGAAGTAATGAAACAACTGCTGGCGGAAGGCAGCAAAGGAACTGTCCTTTCATGCAGGGAAGTGTGGCAAACTGAACTCAAAAGCACACACTAAGTTGATGCAACACAACTCCTGAATTTGGGTTTAAAATTTTTTGCTAAAGTTTTAGCAAAACTTTAGTTTAGCATAACTTTGGAGTATCAATAAGAAGATCTTACTGACACTCAAAAGTTTTATGCTTGTGACCGAAATAGAAATGCAAAAGGCTACAGTGTATCTTGAGTTGGCTTGGATTTGGGGCCTGTTTTCTCAAATGCCTGGAGAACATGCAGGTCCAGTTACATAGGTGGGTTAAAGCTGTGTGGTTCAGATACTCAGTTGTGTGGCCCTGGGCAAAATAAGAGAGTTCTGCATTGGGATTTTTGGAGCCTGACTTAAAAAAGCAGAGTTCCCCTCAGTGTAAGAGAGAAGGCAAGTTTCAAAGGCTAAGCAGAAAACAAGTATTGATGCTAGAGTGTGCAGACCAAATTCTGAGCTCCAGTCAGGTCTGTGGATGAGTCAGTTTTGCAGCTGGATTGCAGGGGAACAACACAACCTGTGCAGGGCATGACATAAAGGGAGAATGCTTTTATCTGTTTCCTACAGGGTCAGTGTGTTTTGCACTGGCTGCCCAACCACTGGCGACAGGCTGGAGATACTGAGGCAAGAGAGATGCTCACCAGTAAGGGACAAAAGCCACAAATGAAAGCATATGGCAGTTTCAGAGCCAATGTATTTTAATCTTCCCTTTGTTAAGCTGATTCTCCTTCCAAAGGAGTAGAGGCAGGTGACCACAAACCAGAAGGGGATTAATCAGAGGATCCATTAATTGATTCAGTAATCCACTAAGCAGAGGACTTTTGAAGCCTTTTGAACAAGGTAAGGTCACTGGGAAATTGTGCTGGTTATTTTTAGACCAGGCATTGTTCTGTGCCAGGATGGATGAGAGTTTGGACTTTGTGCAAGAGCCCCAGTGCAACTGCATTCCTCAGGCATGAGAATGGCCAGGGAAGACTGGGGTCTCCCCCTAAAACCCCCATGCTGTGGGGGAACCCCAGCACCACCCACCTCTGCCACCCTAGGGATTAGGAGGTGTGTGGGGTTGTCTGGGCTGCCATGCATGGACCCACAGGTGCCCTAGGAGATGAGGCTGCCCATGGCGGTCCCATGGCAAAGGGAAAACCCACTGTGCCCACTGAGGCTGTCTGGGAGAAGTGTTGCCCTTCCAGAGGAAGGAGTCTGCCTCCTGTCATGGGGGCAGGGAGCACAAGCAGGACAGAGCACAGCTCCTCTCATTTAAAAATGTTGGGTTTTTGTAATTGCACTGGGAAAAAACCCAAAACAACCCATGAGTTCTTTTTTTTGGTGACCTTTACGAGAAAGGTAAAAAAAGGCATGCAGGGGGTGTTTGGCTTGGTGTGATTATGGTGTAGGCACTTGGTTTGCAGTATCCAGAGCTGATTCAGGCACATTGAGCCAAACCAGGCCACTTGAACAACATACCTGGTTTTCCAGATGCCCTACTCTCTGGATGATCTGCACCTTAAAGCTCACACACACACTTTGCCTCTGGGGATTGTAAGGAAAAGGAATCTTTATTTCTTCCTTCTATATTTGAACATATATCATGGCAAAATTTCTGCAAGCCTGGAACAAGGGCATGAAATTGCCTTTTCTTGTGCAGCTGCTGTTAATGACTTGAAATCACAAGATAGGTTATCAGCCATCAAAAGCTGTATACACACACATGTGTGTATATATATATATTTCTATATAGTGGGTTTTTTCTGGTTATGTACATGTTAAATAAGATTTATGTTAAATAGCAGAGTATTACTTTGTATCACAAAACCTATTGCAACAGAAGAACCCCAAGGAAACCCACTGAAGAGCTTCACCATCCTTTATAAGAGGCAAGGGGATTGCAGCAGCATCCTCTAGTCCCTGACAGAGCCGCTTTCTGAGGGCAGCCCTTCAGACTTCCTCCACTCCGCCAGGCGCTGCTTGAACCATTTCTGGAGAGAAAGAACAAAGCAGGGACTGAGTGCACTGGGCTGAGCAAAGCCTCCAAATCACTTTCCTAAAGGTGCAGGTGTCAGCACGTGGGACGAGGTGAGGGGAACTCATGGTGCTGCTGCCTTGTAGCAAGGTGCTGTTCCCAGGCAGTGCAGGCAGCCAGGATGGTTGCTCCTGACCGAACAGTCTGGTAACCTACATGTGCACCTCCTTCAAACTCATTTCTCTAGCTCACTTCAGACCTTGACAGCATGGGTGAGTCTTTTTTTTTATTGCTGTGAGCCCAGGTTTTTCTTGCAGAGTAAGAGATTGGCTGAGGAGCTGGATGGTGTCTGTTTAAATGACTGGAGAAGTAAAAAAATCCTTTCCAAGTTCCAAACTTGGAAAATTTGACAGGAATTGAAAGCTCACCTGTTTCAGAAAGCATGAGAGGTATAGCACATTGGCTCTCCAACAAATTTAAGAACAAATCAATTTTTTAAATTGTTTAAAAATTGTCTTAGTTTTAAGGCAATATGCACATCTGTGTTAGCAGCACTTAGCACTATGTCTGCTGTAACTTAGCATCTGGAAGCCTATTCCAAGAGCTGCTGATGCCACTTCAAGACAGACACAATTTAAAATATTAGATAAAATGTATTTGGTTAAAGCAACACTACCTAAGAAGAAAAGAAAGAAAAGAAATACTACTCATGTGCCGGAAGCACAGCTCAGCCTTTTCTTTGGCAATGTGCCTGTGATTCCTTTTGTTGCAGTTCATTTTGTTGCTATATTTGTTCATGGTTATTTTTGAAGCTATTATGCTCCATAATGATACAACCACAGTGCTCTCTATAAGTGCCTCTCACACTCACACTGCCTTTGACCACATCCATACGATTGACAGCCTAGCGTTCTCTCAAAAGTTTCACTTTCTGTCCTAAAGCATAATCTCCTCTTTGCATCTCATCAATACTGAATTTTTTATTAAAATGGCTGCTATTTCTAGAGGATAAAACACTCCAGATGACAGGAGCAATGATTCCCTGTGTTCTACGCAATGCAGGCACTTTGCAGCTCACCACCCCAGTCTTGATCCTGTCCCTAACATGACCTCCATCTCCAGAGCACACTGGATTAGTGGGAAAAGATAGCTATCAGGGAGGATTTTAAGACACCTACAGAGGTGCCCTGGGCATATATGGCCTCTGTTTCCAAGTTGCTGTAGGGGAAAAAAAAGGATTCGTGCCATTTCTATGGAGAAAAAGGTATTTTAGGGGTGCTGCCTCAAACAAGCAGTGATTGATACCTGCCTGTCACCAAAGCACAGTCCACTCCAGCTGAGGACTATGTGTGCAATGGATGCTGTTCCAGCATCTTTCCCCGGGACAGGCTAAATGCTGACATTGCCAATTTGGCTTTGCTGAGGGAGAGCCAGGCTTGGCAGCTCTCTGCAAACCGCTGCTAACTTTCCAGTGGGATGGATTTCTTTTCTATACCCATAAATGCTGCCGTGGGTCTAGTTAACACCTACATCCCAATGAGCTGCACTGCCACCTGAAGGAACTGGGAAGAAGCTGTTTGCTTCTGAATCCCACGGTAGCCTGCAGGTAGCCAGCTGGATCACAGGGCTTGGTGGCATTCCCAGGCAGTGGCAGCCTGTCCCTGTGGAGGGATATTTGGAGGCCTCCATGTCTCCTGGAGAGGCTGACAGACTTGCCTGACATTGGGGCTTTGGGACGCTGAGGGGGGGAAGGTGCACAGCCTGAGCATGTCTCACAGCACATCCTGCAGGAATTGCATCTACCCTCTATCTGTTTTAAAATGACAGCAGTTTCTTCAGACATTAAAACCAGCAGTAGTTTGTGCATCCAAGACTGTCAGAAATAGTTTGGAAGAACAGCATGCACGGGTTGTAAATTGCGGAGCAGAAACACGTGGAGTGCAGGAAGGATGTGGGGTACAGGGAGGTGCTGTGTTGCATTAGAGCTCTCTGGGTGCAGTTAGGATGTGCTGGGGGTTGCAGAGGTGCAGAGGAGACTTGTGGGTGCAGTGAGGAGAGAGCAGGGTGCACGGTGGTGCAGGGAGCGCACTCAGGGAGCACAAGGGGCACAGAGGAGTGCAGGCATGTGGGGGGAGCATGAGAAGGGCAGGGGCTGCTGTAGGAAGCACTGGGGGGACAGACAGGTGTATGCTAGACCAGGGCAGGCAGGAGATGCGGGGCACAGAGGCATGGAGGGGGAGCGGGGCTGGTGCCAGGGGCAGGATGAGGGGCATGCACTCACCAGAGTCTGCTCCTCGGAGAGCCCGGTCTCAGCAGCGATGAGGCACAGTGTGGTGGGGTCAGGATGCTTATTCACCTTGCAGAAGTGGTGTTCCAGGATCTCCAGCTGCTCCTCAGTGGGAATCACTGGCTTTTCCATGGCCATCTCCTCCTGGGGCAGGGCTATGGGGCCAGGCACTGCAGAGAGGGGCTGGTGTCATCGCTCTAGCTGGGAGTGGCCAGTGGGGGCCACACTTGCTGAGCCCCAGATTTGCCATCCGTATCCCCACCAACCTCCCCCCCCCCCGGCCCCAGCGGTGGCCTCTGGCTGCAGCAGGGCTCAACTCCCTTTCCAAAGGCATGCCAGGCAGCTCAGCTGGGAGCACCAGCCCCCAGCAACTCCTGTCTCGTTTCCTCACTGCAGTGAGCATTCCTCACTGCAGTGAGCAGAGCACACGGCAGCAATGCCCAGCGCTGAGCTGTCTCACCATCCTCAGCTGGCAGGAAGCTGCAGGCTGCTCAGCACTCCCCTGGTGCTGTATTTATAGCCAGTGTCACTCCCATGGGAACGATTCCTGTTTACAGCCCTATTTAGGCCTGGGCGTCACTTAGGAGTGATGTCACAGCAATGGGCATGTTCAGGGGGTTAATTTAAAGACATTCATTAGAAAACATTATTTATCCTCTGGGTGAAGGGAGAATATCTGACATCTAAACTAGTGGATGTTGCTTATTTATTTTTCCCCTGCTTCCCAGTGATCAGGCAAGTTTGTGCAAAGGAATGATAAAACAGAGCATACGTGATCTTCTGGGAGCATGGTCTTTGATCCAGAAACCACCCTGTTTCCCCTCCTCAGGATCAGCGTCCTGGTCCTTCTCTTAGCACTGTGGCCGGACATCACATAATGCTGGCCATGAGAAGGTGAGTGCACTGTTTTAAGAAATATTTAATGTTACCACAAACATTAACAGTTTGTCCTATTGCTCCTGAGCATCACTGAACTGGTTAGTTGATTGGTTGGGTTTTGGTGTGCAAGTGTTCAAATCGTCAAGGACTGTACCCAGTGTATGTCTGTTGCTCAAGCACTTGCTGCCTCTGACTGGGGTCAGTCCTAGGTGCTCCCAGCAAAGGCAGTACCAAGAAGCCCACATTTTCCTCCAGAGTTACCCTTGTCTCACTTGTGCTTTGCATAATCTCTGGAAGATTTGCCAAAAGAACAAGCAAAACAAATGCATCTTGGCTAAGTCCCACACCTCTTTTCTGCTCGGCTTCAGGTTTGCTTTCACATGGCAGAGGGTCGAGCTTGCTAATTCAGTCGACTAAAACATGTGGCACTGCCCCCACACAGCATGTACAAGTCCCTTGATGCTGAATCACTGTGGCGTTTTTGAAACCAGGCTGTGGGGCATTGGCAGGGGAGGAGCTGGTTGCAAAATGTGGCCTTTCTTGATCTGCTCTCCTGCTGTCCCAGTTGCCTGGCCCATCTCTGTCAGGTTGGCTGGTTGGTGTTGCTGGTTCTCCAGTGCTGCCAGGAGCCCTTGGCCCTTCTTGGGATTCTTGTGGGCCATCTGCTGCAGACCTGCCCTGCTTTCACACTGCAGTCCAGCTTTTCTTTCCCTTTGGCTCTGGAGTATAATCCTGGAACATCCATCATGCTGCACTCCCACTGCACAGATTTAAACCCAACTGCTTTCTTGGTTGGCTGGTAACTCACCTTTAGGTACCCTGGGGTACTGAATGCCCCAGGGCTTTCTCTTGCTGACAGAACTGCTAGGATGGAGCTCAGCTTCAAAACTGTCTTGCAGCTTGTGAAGAGCCAGGCACAGTGAGAGGCTGGAGAGATCCTCTTCTTTGAACTTTACCTCATAAAACAAAGATCCCCCTGAGCCTCCTCTGCAGAAAGTGCTTTGACTAATAAAAGAATCCTTTGGTATTTGAGTAGGGGCTTATAAATAGACCAGGGCTGGTTGTGAAACAGCCCACTCTGCTTGAGTCACTTGGTAAATACGGATTGTAACACAGAGGTTGTGTAACACTGGAGCACCTCTGAGGGCCATAGAGTGCTGGTAGACAGTACAGACAGTATGACCCACCAGCCCTGGGTGGACGGAGGAAAGACCATCTCTAACCCCAGGGACTGCAAGCCAAGCTGGCCTTGTCTGCGGTGCATTGCAGCTGCCTGGGCTTCCTGGAGCCAGCTCAGTTCAGAGGCATCCATATAGGAAGGGGGCATCATAACTCAGTTCCTCATTCATGTGAGGTAGCAGGAGTCTGCTGAATGCTGCTCACCTACCTTAGATGTTTATAGACCTCTGGAAAAGATGCAGGGGTAGAAGGAGATCCCCTGGACCTGAGGTGCTGCTCTCCAGCACTGTGGCTGCCAAGCTCTCCATGGGGCCAAAATGCAGATGAGGCCAAGCTCAGGCCACAAGTCCTGCCTCTTCTTTTTTCAGCACACAACTGGGCCACCTGCCCTTCCCACAGAAAGCCCAGCCACAAAGGGATCCTCATCACCTCCAGATCATGCATCCAGCCCGGGCCACCAGCAGCAACATGTCTTGGCAGCTCATAAATCAGTGTTTGCAGCCTGCTGCATTCATGTGCATTGATGTGAGTGCATGGATTTGAATAGGGAGCCCATGCTTCACCTTTCATGTTTCACCTGCACAGCTTTTTCTGCTTCTGATTATCTCCAGGTTCCTGAGGCATTTCCCCACAGGACACAGTATCTTCTACCTGCTGGCAGCTCAGGGTGCCCCAGCATGTGGGATGTGATGCCTGATGGCTTTTCTTATGTCCCCTCTACCCCTGCTCTGGAAGGAGTACAGTTTTTACCTCTCAGGGTTGTGAGATGGGTTTCAGGAAAAGGCAAAAACCCTGGGGCTCCTGGAGGGCTTTGCAGGTCTCCCCACATCGCTCTACTATGTCCTGGAGGCTTTCAGGAGCCAGGTGACCCCTGTGCAGCATATGGCCTCTAGCACTTGGCACCTCCTGGATGCTAAATTTGTAGGTATATAACATGACTTGAGGGCACCAGGAGTGCCTAAATGGCCAGACTGGCCCTACTGAGACCACTAATCACCTGCCCACTACTTAAATGAAGCCTCATTTAAGCCCAGGCATGCAGCTGGGCTTCAGGCTGTCCAACATCTCTCCCTGGACAGGAAAGGTGATTGTCTCACATTTCTTTAAGCCTGGCAGAAATATGGAGACTCACAGCTGTTTGGCTTAGCTGCTGAAAAACACCACTTCTTACTGCTTTTTTCTCCTAAATTTTTGACAACATTAAAAAAAATGCTTTTTCAGTGCAAGGAATGTTAGCCATTCAGCAGGGCCGTGGGGCTGCAGTTGTTATTCAGCTGGGGTTTACTCACCCAGGCAGAAATGACAATGCCAGATGCACTGTCACAGGGAAGCCACCACACCTGCTCTGTCCTAAGCGTCAAGCTAAGGACTCCTGGGGAATTCATGCTTGGCTCTGACTGTTGTGGTTTTAGGTAGAGCGATGTGAGAGCAGAAGCTTGCAAGTGGGCCTGGGCTGTGGGCAGCTCCAGCCAGCATTGCTATGTACATGACAGCACCTGGTGCTCTTAGTGTGGCTGATAGGGCATTAAAATGCACCTCCAGGGCCATTTTGAAGTGAGCAGACAAAAGGTAATGGCTGATGGACACAAGTTGCAGCAAGAGAAAGTCTTATTATAAATATATAGTACTCTGCCCATGTCCTGTGGTTGCACTCAACTCCCCAGAAACACCCTGGGGTTACTAGCAGGACTCCTAGCTCTGGCCTGAAATGGGCAAGGACATCTTTCTGTGTCCCAGCATGCTTGTCCAGCACTGCTAGTGCAGTCAGCATTTACAATCCTGGCAGAAATCTGCCACTTTTCCAGAAAAGACACGATCTCTGTTTGCTCAGCTTTGCTTTTTTGAACAGTAGTCACAATAGCTGGCTGGCTGTGCAGCTTTCTAACGATTTACTGCACCCAAAGCTCCTGGAAATCTCTCTGAGCAGTAGCTCCTGCCAAGCTGATGGGACTCCATAGCCTCTGCTGGGCTTCTTGACCCTCTCCCAGTGCTCCCACTGTCAGGCTGGGATGTGACTGGAGGCATCTGCATCTGGTTTTAGCTTGCAGCTATTTCCTGCCACTGCAGGGATCAAAATAGCAGTTCTCAATGCAAACGAGCCCTCTTACCCTCCCTTGTTCTGCTGCAGAGCCGTGTCCTGTCCTAAGCTTTGCTCATCTCCTGCTGCGGGGTGGCTGTGGATAACATCAGCCAGCATGGCGCACAGGATAAGGTGGGACAGAGGCTTTAAAAATAAACCGGGCCCTGCCATAAATAAGGAAAAAACACCTGTCATGCATCCTGTAAACTACCCGTCCAGTCTTTTAGAAGATAATATCGGATAGGAACAAAGCAAACAGGAGCACAGCAGCTGCTGCAGCAGAGGCAGGACGCCGTGGTGGCCCTGCCTGGGGTCTCTCTTCTGCCTGCCCCGGGCATGAGCCCTCCTGCCCTGCTGGGTGCAGCTCCGACCTCCTCAGCATCAGTACTCACAGGGGAGCTCCTGCCTCCATACCCCATCCCCAACTGCAAACCCACCCCAGCAGCCCGGCTCAAAGCCTGTGCTTACCTGCAGCTGGCAGGGACCAGAGGTGTGTAAAACAAGAACCCCGCAGGTCTTCGGGTGACTGCTTAAGTATCTGCGTGTGTGTTTGACAGGCGGGGACCTGAAAAACCTGCCGCAAATCACAGGAGCTGCCGGGCTCCACAGCCGCTCTCTGGGCTGGTAATTCAGGTTTGGCACCCGCTCCCTTTGGCAGGGCTCCCCGCGCTCCGCGGCCGTGCGCTCCGCGGGCTCTCGGTGCCCGGCGGCCGTCGGGGCGCGTCCCGCCGCGCTCGGGGCCCCGGCCGGGGCTGCTTCCTGCGGGGCTACAGGAAAGGTGCCGGCGGGGTGCGGCGGAAACTGCGCTTCGTGCGGCGGAGCCGCGGCCGAGCCCGTCCCGCCCGGCCGGGCCGCGTCCCGCTGCGCCGCTGAGAGCAGCCCGGGCGGATGGAGCCCGCCCCGCTCGCTGCTGCGCGGGGCTCGGTTCTCATCTCGCTGTGCGTCTTGCAAGGGATGTGTCCAGTTTAACATTCCTGAGCCTGCTGTCACTTTAGTCAGCCCTGTGATCGCGCCACGTTGGGTGTAAGGGCAGGACTGGGTCCTGGATCTGTGCTGCTGCTGCAGCCTTGAGAGGCACAGCCTGCCTGGGGATGGGGAGGAGAGCAGGGCATCCTCTGCCAAAGCCGTCTCCTCGATGGAAGTGCCCAGGAGCCTGCCGTTCTCAGTGTGGTGGTCTGGGAGCATTAGACAGCAGCTTAAAAAGAGGCATCTTGTGGGCTGGAGTGCAGTGGGGAGGGGCTGATTTTTCTCTCAGTTTGTAGACAGCTGGAAGGGGATGCTGGAAAATCAGAGAGGCTGAAGAAAGGGCTCATGAAAAATTGAGTATGGCTTGCAGTGGCTGAGATGATCTGCCAGAGCAAAACTCAAACTGGCACAGAATACAAAAGCTGTGGAGCTGGCTGGAGCCAGAGGGAGGG